TGAGCATCACCCCAGGCAGTGAGAGACCGCGAGTGGGATTCCCCATCAGGTCACATGCCTGGGTTTAAGCCTTGATCCCCAGGGCGGGTGGGGGTAGCGGGGTAGGGGAGGCAGCCCATTGATGGCTTTCTCTCATAGATGTTTCTCTCTCTCTCCCTCTCCCTTCCTCTCTCTCTTTAAAATCAATTTTTTAAAACGAGTGTGGCAGATATTTATCCAAATCGCCACATTAATATTTCTGGTCTCACCTATTCTTCCTGTGGAAGCTTGCCTCTCCCCATCAAGAAGTTGAGACTGGCCCTAACTGGTTTGGTCAGTGGATAGAGCGTCGGCCTGTGAACTGAAGGGTCCCAGGTTCGATTCCAGTCAAGGGCATGTACCTTGGTTGCGGGCACATCCCCAGTAGGGGGTGTGCAGGAGGCAGCTGATCGATGTTTCTCTCTCCTTGATGTTTCGAACTCTGTATCCCTCTCTCTTCCTCTCTGTAAAAAGAAATCAACAAAAAATATATTTTAAAAAAAAGTTGAGACTGTTTTCCTCCCCAGAGGGGGAGTGCCGCTCAGCCACAAGCTGGGCTGACAGCTAGCAAGAGCAGCAGCCTGCCTCCATGGCAGTGCTAAGGATGTCCACGGAGGGCTTAGGGAGCAAGCCTAAGTCCTCAGTCGGACATCCCCTGAGGGCTCCCAGACTGCGAAAAGGTGCAGGCCAGGCTGAGGGAACCTATGCCCCCAGTGCACCAATGTCATGCACCGGGCCTCTCATATATATGTTTACTTCTGCTTTAATGTTTGTAGAACAAGTGCCGTTTTCCTTGGGCACTGTAAATCCCTCGGGTTGGCTACCTGCCATGACTGGATAGCCCCTGCTTCCCGGAATAGCACACGCTTCCCCTGCAGCCCTTTCTAATTTGGGCCTCTCGTTTTCTCACATCCCACATGCCTCCCCACTGAGGCTTGGGAGGTATTTTCTCTTGGTTCTTTTGGGTGCAAGCAGATGAAATGAACTCCATCTAACCTAAGCACACAGTCAATAAATAAAGCAATACTTATAACAACAGCAACAAACACACAAAACCCATAAAGGGTCAGCCCTAGCTGGTATGGCTCAGTGGATAGAGTGCCAGCCTGCAGACTGAAAGGTCCCGGGTTCGATTCCAGTCAAGGGCGCATGCCTGGCTAGCAGGCTCAATCCCCAGTAAGGGGCGTGCAGGAGGCAGCGGATCAATGATTCTCTCCATTATTGATGTTTTTAACTCTCCCTCTCCCTTCCTCTCTGAAATCAATAAAATTAAAAAAAAATGGGGAAAAAACAACCACATACATGTTCTAAGAATTCATTTGGAGTTCAGGTATGGATGAACCCAGACACCCATGCGCTGGTGTCAAGAATGTCCTTCATTGCCCTAACTGGTTTGGCTCAGTGGATAGAGCGTCGGCCTGCGGACTGAAAGGTCCCAGGTTCGATTCCGGCCAAGGGCATGTACCTTGGTTGCGGGCATATCCCCAGTAGGGGGTGTGCAGGAGGCAGCTGATCGATGTTTCTCTCTCATCGATGTTTCTAACTCTCTTTTCCTCTCTGTGAAAAATCAATAAAATATATATATTTTTAAAAAGAATGTCCTTCACACACTTTCATTCTTGCTTTCCTCTGTATTGACTTTCATCTCATAAATCCTGTCCTTTCTTGGTGGCAGGCTGAGCCCCATCAGCTCTGGCTCACTTCCCGCCCACTTGGCAACTCCCGCAGAAATAGAAAACCTCCTTCTTGGTCGTTGCATCAAATGTCTCCACGTTGGTTCTCCCTGAGCTAGGTTAGGCTCATGCCTTCCCCCCAACGGGTCACTGGACCCAGGGAAAGGGAATAAACTGATTGGCTGGGGCTGGGTCCTGTGTCCCTGGGGCTGGTGGGGGTTATGGCCAGTCCTATTCAAATGAATTCGACTGAGAGGGGAGAGAAGTGATTCCCCAGAGGAAAGCTGAGTGGGGTGCTGGGTGGGCAAAATCCACAGGCTCCTGCTCTAGTGTCCCTTTCCCGGCCCCAGTCTGCACCCACAGTATTGGTCAGCTGCAGAGCACCGCCTCCCACCCTCCCACCCCTCCTACCCTCTTCCACCCCACTCCCTCCCACCCTCCCACCCCTCCTACCCTCTTCCACCCCACTCCCTCCCACCCCTCCTACCCTCTTCCACCCCACTCCCTCCCACCCCTCCTACCCTCTTCCACCCCCACTCTCCCATCCTCCCACCCTCCTACCTCTTCCACCCCACTCCCCACCTCCCACCCCTTCCTACCCTCTTCCCCCCACTCCCTCCACCCCCCCACCCCTCCTACCTCTTCCACCCCATCCCTCCCACCCCTCCTACCCTCTTCCACCCCACTCCCTCCCACCCCTCCTACCCCTTCCACCCTCTCCCCACCCACCCCTCCACCCCTCCTACCCTCCCTCCCACTTCCACACCCCCCCTCCCTCCCCACCCACCCTCCACCCCTCCCACCCCTCCTACCCTCTTCCACCCCACTCCTCCCACCCCACCCCCTCCTACCCTCTTCCACCCCACTCCCTCCCATGCTCCCACCCCCTCCTCCCCTCTTCCACCCCATTCCCTCCCACCCCACCCCAACCCTTCTACCCTCTTCCACCCCACTCCCTCCCACCCCACCCCACCCCCCCCTCCTACCTCTTCCACCCCACTCCCTCCCACCCCACCCCACCCCCTCCTACCCTCTTCCACCCCACTCCCTCCCACCCCACCCCACCCCCTCCTACCCTCTTCCACCCCACTCCCTCCCACCCTCCCACCCCCTCCTACCCTCTTCCACCCCACTCCCTCCCACCTCACCCCACCCCCTCCTACCCTCTTCCACCCCACTCCCTCCCACCCTCACCCACCCCCTCCTACCCTCTTCCACCCCACTCCCTTCCACCCCACCCCACCCCCTTCCATCCCCTGTTCCCATCCCACTGTAACGCTCTCCCTGCTCCTTGGTGACCTTGTACTTCTCCCTCTCTTTTTTTTTTTTTTTCCCTCTCTTTTTTAAATGTTTTTTTAAATATATATTTTATTGATTTTTTACAGAGAGGAAGAGAGAGGGATAGAGAGTTAGAAACATCCATGAGAGAGAAACATCGATCAGCTGCCTCCTGCACACCTCCTACTGGGGATGTGCCCGCAACCAAGGTACATGCCCTTGATCGAAATCGAACCTGGAACCTTTCAGTCTGCAGGCCGACGCTCTATCCACTGAGCCAAACCGGTCAGCTTGTACTTCTCCCTCTTTTTTTTTTTTTTTTTTTTTAAGGTGTAAAAATTTATTACACATACAGAATACGACCACTAATGAATGCAGACAGGCTAGGACATAATGGTGTTAGATGGAGGACAGCAAGCTCTTTGGGAAGTGAGCAGGTCTGGATGGCGCAGAGCTTCATGCCACGCAGACTGGCCAGTCAGACGGAAGAACACATGCCTAACACCCCAGGATGTCAGGGTGTCAAGCAACTGCTCTGTGTGCCCACTGCCTTCCCTGTCTGACCTGTGGCTCTGAAGGGTGCCACACCCAGAAGCGAGACAGTGAGGCAAAGGGGCTTCCCCAGGTGGCCCAGGCTTGGATCTGAAGTCACAGCAACACCATTTTAAGCAATATGTTTAATCGGATGATTTCCACAAACTATACACGAAGTCTCTAACCATGACAATTCAGTGAAGTACAAAACATTAAGTTACAGGGTGGAGAAGGCAGCACCAGTGGGTGGCACCTTCCAATCTTGGTTGGCCTAGGGGTAAGGGCTGGAGGAAGGTTTCTTTTTAAACCAAGCCCCTCATTTCAATGTACAAAAGAATTACTCTGATTGATATTAAATTGTTTTGAAAACAAAATGGCCTAAAAAGCAAATACTATTCTATGTTTGGGGGAAATGGGAGGAAAGAATGAGTCCGTCAGAGCAGGTGGGAGACAGTGGGGGAAGGTCCGTGGCTGTGGCCCAGGCGTCACTCTCGCTGCTCCATTTTGACTTTCGGTGGTCTCAGGAAGGTCCGATTACTTCTCCCTCTTTAATTCACTGGCAGAAATGACCATTTCTCTGCTCTTTAAAACAGTGAGCGATTGAATTTTACGCATTCGGCAGTGGGAACCTGCAAAGGGAGTGAGAGAGGCAAGCAGGTAGGACTGGGGCCATGGCGGGGGTGGGGGTGGGGGTGCCGAAGTGGAGGAGTGGGTGCGGGATGGAGGGATGAGAGCAGCTACTGGGGACTAAGAGGCGATGGTGGGGTGCAGAGGGAGAGAGTTTGTAGAACTGGGGCGGGGGTGGGGTGGGAGGTGGCGGGCAGAAGTGGGGACTCGGTGGTTAAGAGGCGGGAGGAGCCCTGGCTGGTTTGGCTCAGTGGATAGAGCGCCTGCCAGCGGACTGAAGCGTCCGGGGTTCGATTCCGGTCAAAGGCACATGCCTGGGTTACGGGTTCGATCCCCAGTAGGGGGCGAGCAGGAGGCAGCCAATCCATGATCCTCTCTCATCATGGATGTTTCTCTCTCTCTTTCCCTTCCTCTGAAATCAATAAAGATATATTTTTAAAAAATAAAAGAGGCGAGAGGAGGCAGAGCGGGGCGACTGGAGGGGGTGGGACTGGAGGTCGAAGGGGCCAACCGGGGGTAGGAAGTGGAGGGGTGAGCGGGGGTGGGGTTAGAGGGTGGGGACTCGGGTGCAAGGAACAGAATTACTGGGTGCCCCCGCGGAGTACGGGTGTCGGAACGTCCCGACAGAGGCCGGGCCAGGAGGCGCGGCCACCGACCGGGCTGGCGACTCCGCTGAGAAAGCGGGCGGCCAGGGGCGTGGCTGGGAGCGGGGGTGTGTTCCCCTCTCGCCTGGCCTTCCAAGACTTCGTCTCTGGTCCCGCCTCTTTCTCGGAAGTGACAGACGGTTGGACCAATCAGAGCCGCGGGCCGGGCTCAGAGCAGCCAATACCGCGGCGGGGGAGGAGCTGGGGAGGGGGCTCGCCGGGCAGGGGAGGGGGCGGGGGGCCGCCGAGGGCGCCCGAGCTGCGACGCGCGAGCCATGGCGCTGGGGCTGCAGCGCGCAAGGTACTGGGATTCAGGGGCCGGAATGATGAAAATGGGGGGCTCTCCTTCTAGGGACCCCTGACCCGGGTGGGGGATGCTTGGGTGCAAGTCAAGGGCGCCCCCCGGAAAGAGCGGTGGGAGGCACGTCTCTGCCGCACCCTCCACCCTAGGGGGCTGCAGGGGTGCGGGGGTTTCCCCAAGTCCCTGGCTGCCCCGCCTCTCTTGCCAGGAGCGACTTGAGAGTCGTGATCCCCGATTTCTTGCTGCTGCGGATTCGTGACCCCTCCTGGTTGGGGATGAAACTCGGGGTCCCCATGGAAAGGGGGGTGTTTTGTTTGAGCGGTTCCTGGGCTTCTCGTGAAGGCATTCTCGCTCCACATATTGACCCTTCTGGCCTCGGAACCCCCAACATTGAGGTTGTCCTTTGCCACCAGACCCTTGAGATCCTAAAGGGTATGGGGTACACCCAACTTGAGCCTTCCCAGACATAGGGAATCCCTTGGAATGGGGACTCATCAGGGGAAGACAGATCCCCTTTAACTGGACCCTTCTTGGCACAGTCTCCCAAACTTGAGATCCCTAGAAATACTCAGAAGGGGTCACCTTTCAAACGCTACCTGGGACCCTCCCCAGGGGCCTTTCTGTAGCCCTTTGAAAAGTGGGGTCACCCCCTTTGATGACAGGGGAACGGCCTGACCCACTTGCCAAAGACCTTCATGTCCCTCCTCCACCCCACCCCGTTCCTGTGATCATGGGAAGGGACGCACCGCGTTTTTGGGGGGGGGGGGGGGACCCAAAGGAGGGTGCTGTGCCTGATTAAGGAGAAGCCTCCTGCATTGCTCCGCGGATCATCCTGGGCAGAGGGAGGCTTCTGTGTTCAGCTCCCAGCAGGTGCAGATATGCTGGGGGGGGGGGGGGGGCTGTGCTCTGGGTCCTCTGCCAAGGGGCTGACCTGGCTATGTCTGCATGGGGACCCCAGAAAGTGCCCCAGGCCCTTGGTTTCCCCTGTCCAATCTGAGGCATCCAGGAAGCCTCACCCCCTTCCCTCCTCCCTGGATTCCCAGGTCTGATTGGATCCATCCACACACCCCCATGTTTTTCACCCTCCCCCTTAAGCAATCTCCCTCCTCCCCTGCCCCCCTCCCCCCCAAATCTATTCCAGTCTCTGGCTCTAGGCCCATTAGGGAACTCCATCCCATCCCTAATGGGCCAGCCTGGCCCTACCCCTCCCAGTGCCCCCTCTTGGCTGGGTGAGGCCCCCTCTTGGCTGAACAGGAGTGCTCTCCCCTCCCCACTGAAGGCCAATTCTCTCCTGGGTTGTCATCCCAGCACCACAACCCCACCCCACTCATAACTCGAACCCAGGTCCCGGCCACACTCTGTCCCCTCCGCACCCCTAGGATGGCACTTGGGCCAAAGGGGGCCTGGGTGATGGTGAGTGGGGCCCCCATAGCCTCTCACCCCCTTCCTTTCTGCCAGCTTGGGCTTACTGCTAGCCCACCTTGGTCAGGAATGTTCTTGGGAAGTTCTGATGGGCACACTGCCCACAAGCCCTCTCTTCTGGTATGGGCACCCCACTGGATTACCGTGTCCCTGGGAAGGAGCAAGTCGGGGAGCCGGGAGACTCCTCTTGGCCCACACCCCAAATCCCTTCTCAAATCCATACCCTGACTACCTTCTCAGGCCACCTCTGGGCAGTGCCTAAACCTCCCAGATCCTCTACACTTTTTTGCAAGACCCCCAGTACTCAGCTCCGTGTCAGAGGAGAGGCCCAGGAACAGCCCTGAATAGGGGCAGGGTCTCCCCACTTTCTCTGGGCCTGTGTTCCCAGGTGGCCAGTTCTCCAGGACAGGGAAGAAGTCTGCTTCTCCCTCTCCCAGTCGGGGGAGGAGGGGCGGAGAACTGGGCTTCAGTCCCTGTTTTCGGGCCTCACCCTGGGGCCTCCAGGCCCTGGCCCCGCCCCCTGTTCTCTGCTGGAACAGCGGAAGGGTGGCAGGGTTCCAGCTGCACGTCCCAAGCTGGGCAGGGTGCCAGGGGGGCTGGAGTAGGGCTGGGCACCGGGCCAGCTGGGGAGACTGTCCAGCTGGGGAAATCTGGAGGCAGCAGGGATGGGACGTGGGGGGGGGGGGGGGGGGACGACGACTCAGGCCCCTGGGCAAAGGAGAGGCGGGGCAGGGGATCCCTTGGGTGGGCACCCCTGCCAAGGCATTTAAGAGCACAGGCCCCTAAAGCCGGGGTTCAAATCCCAGTTCACCCGCTTCCTGGCTGTGTGACCTTGTGCCAGCGACTGTCTCTCTGAGCCTCAGTTTCATATCCTGGAAAAATAGCAGCCATGCCTCCCCTCCCCCGCCCCTCATCAAGCTGAAGAGCAGTGAGGGAACAGATCTTGGGACCAGGACACCCCATTGGTATGCAATAAACCGTGTTCAGCTCAGACAGAGCTCTGGGTGGAGACAGACAGACCTGGCTTTTAACTTGGCGCTGCCGCTAAAAGCTGTGTGGCCTCGGGCAAGTTCCATCACCTCCCTGCTTTCTTTTCAGGGAAAATACTAGTAGCTACAAGGTCCGACTGAGACGCCTAGAGCGTGGCTGGCCATCGGTGGAGGACCGGGATCGGCAGCTGGGTCCTCTGGGCCTGTGATGCCACCGTGACAGGGAGGCCACTCTGCCTGTTGAAAGGGCTTAATGAGTGTTCAATACCCCAACACTATCAGTACAGTTACTATTGCTATTATTTAGTCTTTTCCAAAGGTGCTTGTGTAAAAGTCCTGTAGGTAATTGTGCATACGCCTCGCCTCGGAATTCGCACCAAAGCGCCCAGTCCCTCCAGTGCCCAAGAGGCTCCTAAGCCTTCCATCTCTGATGTGGACAAAGGGGAGGGGTGTAATAAAAATTATATATAACCTTTATAGAGCACTCTCCAGTTGCCAGGCCCTCTTTTAAGCCCTTGCTATATATTAACTCATTTAATGTTTAAAAGAACCGTGGGAGGCCCTGGCCAATGTGGCTCAGTTGGTTGCGCATCATCCCGTGCACCAAAAGGTCGCTGGTTTGATTCCCACTCAGGGCACATGCCTGGGTTGATCCCCAATCGGGGGCATGCAGGAGGCAGCATCCATGTCTCTCTCTCTCTCTCTCTCTCTCTCTCTCTCTCTCTCTCTTCCTTCCTACCTCCCTCCCTTCCTCTCGCTCTTAAATCAATAAAAAACATTTTAAAATAAATAACTAAAAGAACGCTGTGAGGTAGGTGTTGTTATTATGCTCGGGGAGGCTCTGCCACTTACCCAAAGCCACACAGCTCATTAGTCATGTTGTCAAGGCTGGAACCCTGAGCCAGAGGCACTAGCCCCCGCTTTGCAGTGGGAAAGGCGGGGGACACAGACGTTTGTGAAGACACCGAGGGGCCCACACTTCCTGTCAGAGCACAAGCTGGGAGCTGGAAGGAGGGTCTGCGGCAGCACCAGCTGGTTCCTTCGGTGGAGGGAGAAGTCGGCCACAGAGAAGATTACAGAGCCCAGCTGCCCGGGCGGTGGGGGCCGGCCTCACCCCCGTTCCCACTCCCTGTTCCCTCCGCCCAGTGAGGCCCTCCCACCCCTACCCTCAGGGCAGGATGACAAACAGGGCTGGAACAGAACCAGCACGGGACAGGACGGAATGTCCTCTGGGCAGAGCAGGAGTGGAGGCCCCTGCTCCCCCCACCAGCTGGGAGGGAAGGAATGGGGGTGATCGCTGGCTCCCTCAACCCTCCTCCCCCCCCCCCCCAGAGAAGTCTTTGCCCTCTGCAGTCCCCCAGCACAGTCTTCTCCCCCCTCGCTGGGTGTCTGTGGGTGGGGCTGCAGGTCTGCTGGGGAGTGAGGTTGATGCCACCCCCAGAAGTGGCCTCTGGTCTCTAGGAAGGGACAGCCTCCCCTCTTAGAGGCCTGCTTCCCTGGGGTGGGTCACACGGCAGGAATTAGAAGCATGAAGGCTTTGGAACCTCCCTGCCTGAGTTCGAATCCCAGCTCTGCCAGTTTCTGGCTTTGTGACTTCCTGAGCAAAGGAGTTCACCTTTCAGAGCCTCAGTTTCCCCATTGTGAAGCGGAGGCTTAAGCTGCCTCCTGCCTAGAGCTCTCCTAGGATGGAATATGTACAGACAGGCAAAGTACTTAGTGCGGTGCCAGACACAGAAACACTTAGCAAGTTATAGCTGCTTATTATTAATGGTTTTATCACTATTATAAATACAGATACGATTATAGATGCTGTATGTAATGTACTCTACAACCTAAAAAAAAAACCAGAACAACTATGGTATAGAGTTTGGCCTGGCCGGTGTGGCTCAGTGGTTGAGCATCGACCTATGAACCAGGAGGTCATGATTCAATTCCCAAGGCACACGCCCAGGTTGCAGGTTTGATCCCCACTCGTGCAGGAGGCCGCCGATCAATGATTATCTCTCATCATTGATGTTTCTATCTCTCTTCCCCTTCCTTCCTCTCTGAAATCAATAAAAATATATTTTTTTTAAACTATAGAGTTTGGATTCAGATAGACCTGGAGTTTGACTTTTAAGAGAGAAGCACTGAAACCTGGAGATCAACCCAGAGCCAGAGAGACAGAGAAAATAGAAGTGTTAATACCCTGGCTTCACTCCTTGTGGGCAAACGCGGCACCCCTCTGTCCCTCGGTTTCCCCATCTGTTGGATGGGGATGTGACTTTCCTTCTAGGGTTGTCTGAGCTCTAGATGGGTGAATATAAGTAACACACGTGGCATGTGGACTGACATAATAGAAGCGGAATAAGTGACATATATTTCTGACAGAAACATACTCATCCTTCTACCCCCCACTCGACTCTCAGAATTCAGACATTTGAGCGGGTGCAAGGGCAGGGGTGAGCGTTAGGTTGATCTGCCTCGCGTCGCCCGCCCTGCGGGGCCCCTGCTGGTGGGTTCCTTGGACTTTGAGATCTGAGCTCCAAGATTCTGAGGCCTCAGCTCAGCTGAGGAGGGGGGACGGTCAGGACAGGCGATCCTGGGAGGCCGGAGGGCAGGGGTCTGGCTAGCTGCAGGCAGCTTCTTCCTGCGCCTTCCCTTCCCTGGCTCCGGGCCAGCGCGGCCACCCCCTCCCAGCAGGAGGCCTCCCTGTCCCCCCAGACGTCCCAAGCCAGGGAATAAACAGCAGATAAGTCAGGGAGGGGACCAAACGGGCCTGCGGGGCGCTGGAGGGCAGATAAAACCCGAGGCTAGGAGCAGCCCCCACGCATAGCCCTTTCAGCCCCTGGGTGCTTCGGGAGCTGGTACAGCGAGCCCGCGCCCCATGTGGCAGCGCCCCACGTGCTGGCCCGGTCCCCCTCTCTCCCTTCCCGAGGGGCCGCCCGTGATCGCTGCCCGCGCCCGCAGGTCGAGCACGGAGCTGCGCAAGGAGAAGTCGCGGGATGCGGCTCGCAGCCGGCGCAGCCAGGAGACCGAGGTGCTGTACCAGCTGGCGCACACGCTGCCCTTCGCGCGCGGGGTCAGCGCCCACCTGGACAAGGCCTCCATCATGCGCCTCACCATCAGCTACCTGCGCATGCACCGCCTCTGCGCCGCAGGTGAGCCCCGCCCCTGGGAATCCCCACCTGCGGAGGCCCCGCCCCCCGACGTCTTCCCTGCGGACCCCCAGCCCCCCTCCGCCCCCCCTTTCACTTCCCCGGTGAGGCCCCGCGGGCCCTGGCGCTCGCTCCCTGAGATGTCAATGACCAGTGAGGCCCCGCCCCTTGGATCGCACCCTGGGGAGGCTTTGCCTCCTTAGAAATCTGCGGAATAGGAGGCGGGCTAATTCCCTAAGCCCCTCAGCCCTTAGGATTTGATCCTCTGGGGGACCTTCTCTGCAAGGCCTGGGCCCCTTATAATAAATACCCCGGGAGGCTTCTTGCCCAGTTTTGAATTACTTGAGAAAGTCCCCCTCCCCTCCCAGCTCCCTAGTTCTAGTTCTTGTCCCATTAGAATTCCCTCTGCACACACGCACACCCCTTGGAATCCCAGGGCCCTTGACAAAATTGTGTTATGTGGAAAGCGGAGTCATCCCCCCAGGCTCTGCCCGTCACATTTCTGTGCCCAGAAGAGCTTTGCTTCTCTGGGAGGCTCTGCCCCCTTAGAATGCTGTCGCCTGGGCCTCTCTGCTGCTTTAGAATTCTGCCCATCCGGAAGGCCCTGCCCCAAGAATCCGGGCCCCCTTAAAATTCTGACTCCCCCTAAGCCCTGGCCCTTTAGCATTTTGACCCCTTGGAATATCATCCCCTTAGAATTCTGTCCCCCGCTAAGAGTTCTAGTCCCTGGGGAGACCCCACCGCCTTAGAATCTGTCCCCCTGAGAGGCCCTGCTCCCTGAGAATTCCGATCCTTGGTGGCCCTGACCTCTTCCTTGGGATTCCAAGCCACTGGGGTGTGTCCCCCTCGCCTGGGGGGGGGGTGACCTTTAATTTCCTCTGAGTGAGGGAAGGCAGAGGGGAGCTGGCCAGTGGGGCCCATGGCTGACTGGAGTTGCCCCACCCACGCTGGCCTGGACGCCAGGGGAGTGGAGCCAGGTGGGAACAGGGTTGGAGCCACTGGACGCCTGCTACCTGAAGGCCCTGGAGGGTTTCGTCATGGTGCTCACGGCCGAGGGAGACATGGCTTACCTGTCGGAGAACGTCAGCAAACACCTGGGCCTCAGTCAGGTGAGAAGAGCTGCCTGCCTTGTGCCTGGTCCGTGCAGGTGGTGCTGGGATACAGAGGCGACCAGGGCCGCCTTAGCCCTGCCTTTGTGGGGTTCACAGTACAGACGGAGACTCAGAATGCTCAGGGCTGGGAAGGGGCAGCCGAAGGGTCTGTGCAGTCCCGGGGAGGGTGTGGACCTGACCCGACCTGGGGGGAAGCCAGGGTTCCCAAGAGAAAACATCTGAGCTGAAACCTGAAGGACTTAAGCCAGTCAAAAGGCCTGGAGAATGGATGGGGCCAGCAAAGACTAGAAATATACTAGTAGATAACTGAGGGAACAGAATATCCAGTGACTTAGAGGTGAGGTAAAAGAGAGCATTTTGGCCCTGGCCGGTGTGGCTCAGTGGGTAGAGTGTCGGCCTTCGGACTGAAGGGTCCTGGGTTCGATTCCGGTCAGGGCACATGCCTGGATTGCAGGCTCGATCCCCAGTGGGGGATGTGCAGGAGGCTGCTGATCCATGATCCTCTGTCATCATTGATGTTTCAATCTCTCCCTCTCCCTTCCTCTCTGAAATCAATAAAGATATATTTTTAAAAACACAGAGCATTTTGGGAAATAAAGACATTTCTCCTGGTTAGGTGCAGAGAGAGAGGGGCCAGTAGGGGCGGAGAATTAGGGCCAAGGGAGAGGGTTTAGTTCCAGACCACTGGTGAGCCATGAGAGGATTTTAAGCAAAAGAGGGGTTGTGTTAGAGAGGGAGAATCAGATTTCTATTTTATTTTTTAAAATATCTCTTTATTGATTTTAGAGCAGAAGGGAGAGGGGGAGAGAGATAGAAACACCAATAATGAGAGCGAATCATTGATCGGCTGCCTCCTGCACGCCCCCTACTGGGGATCGAGCCCGCAACCCGGGCACGTGCCCTTAATCGGAATTGAACCTGGGACCCTTCAGTCCTCAGGCTGATGCTCTATCCACTGAGCAAAACAGGCCAGGGCCAGATTTCTATTTTAGAAAGATTCCTCTAAGTGCGGCACAGAGATAGAATCGGAGCCAGTGAAACTAGAGGCTGGGAGAGCCTCGAAGAGGTGGATGGAGGGCCTCGGGTGGGAGAAGAGGAGTCAGAGTAGGGGCCTGAGGATGGGAAGACAAACAAGAGACACTTAGGGAGTAGAAGGAATTTTAGCAAATCCCTAGAGCCGGCCTCATGAGAGCGTTACCATTATTTCTCCTAGTTCACATGAAAGGGCTCCACGCTGGCATCTGCTCCTTGTCCCTGCCTCGTTACCCCACTCTGGGTACCAATTTGTCCTTCAGCGTGACCTCTTGGGCTCAGAGAGATGAAAGTCCCAAGGTCCCAAAGCTAGAAAGTGGCAGAGTCAGGATTCAAATCCAGCAACAAGAGGTGCTGTCAGCCCTAACCGGTTTGGCTCTGTGGATAGAGCATCGGCCGGTGGACTGAAGGGTCCCTGGTTCGACTCTGGTCAAGGGCATGTACCTTGGCTGCAGTCTCGATCCCCAGCAGGGGGCATGCAAGAGGCAGCTAATCCATGTTTCTAACTATCCCTCTCCCTCTCTGTAAAATCAATAAAATATATTAAATAAATAAATAAAAGTAAGTGATTTAAAAAAAGAGAGAGAGGTGCTGTCAGGGAAGGGAGGTCTCACCCACCCCTGTTCACCATGTCCGCTGGGCGGTAAGCAATGTGGTCCCTTTTCATCTGTGCCCGCCCCCTTCCCCACCCCCAGCACCAGGCTCATTGCCTGAACTGGGAAAAGGAGTTGGGTCGTTGGCCTGCCAAACAGGTGGGATTTGACTGTGGTCTCACCCCAGGGCCTTTGCACTTGCTGTTCTGCTTCCCAGAACACTCTGCTCCGGGAGCTGCAAGACCACCTCGCTGGCTTTGTTCAAAGAAACTGTCCCTGACTTCCTGTCTCTAAAATAGCCTCCCTTCATTTCATCACCGTACCCTGCTTTAGTTTTCTTCATATTTCTTATTATATTATTTTATAAATACGTGTTTTGTTTTGTTTACTGGGCCATCTTCCCTCACGAGCCAGTGAGCTCTGAGAGGCGGGGACTTTGTTTTTGTGGTCACTGTTGTGCCCATACCATCTAGACCTGAAAAGAGTATGCTGGAGGGAGGGAGGGAGGGAGGGAGGGAGGGAGGGAAGGAGGAGGGAGGGAAGGAAGGAAGGAAAGAAGGAAAGAAGGAAAGAAGGGAGGGAGGGAAGGAGGGAAGAAAGGAAGGAAGGAAAGGAGGGAAGGAGGGAAGGAGGGAAGGAGGGAAGGAGGGAAGGGGGAGGGGGAAGAAGGAATAGGGAGACTGATGACATAACCCAGGCTCCTGATTTCAGCTGGGTGATGAGCTGGGAAGGAGGAGATGGGCCAGAGTTCTTGGTGAAATGTTTCCCCCCCAAGACGCCCCTGCTTCCCGCCCTCACAGCTTGAGCTCATTGGACACAGTATCTTTGACTTCATCCATCCCTGTGACCAAGAGGAGCTTCAGGATGCCCTGACCCCCCGGCACAGTGAGTTCCCTGGAGGCCTCTGTCCCCAAACTACAGAGACTGAGGCTTTGCCTGCCCTCAGCATAGCCCCTCCTCCTCTGGAATATCGGATTGAAAAAGGTGGGAAGAGGCTGTGGCTGTGCTCCTGCAGACCCCACCTCGCGGGGTCCAGGTCTGAGTGTGGGGATGAGGCTGGGAGACTAGCACCCAGGATGCTGGAGGGAGCTGGGCCCTGTCCAGAGCCGCCCCCTGACCTGCCTCTCCCCTGCCCCCCACGGCCCTCCCCAGGCCTGTCCAGAAGGAAGCCGGAGGCCCCCACCGAGCGCTGCTTCTCCTTGCGCATGAAGAGCACCCTCACCAGCCGCGGGCGCACCCTCAACCTCAAGGCGGCCGCCTGGAAGGTGGGCAGGGCCGGCTGGAGGAGGGCCTGCTGGGGGGGGGGTATGAGCCCGGAAGCCTTGCCAGGGGTTGGAGCCCAGGGGTGCCCTCGGCCGAGCATGCTGTGGGCTCTCTCAGAGTGGGGCTGCTGGGTCTCTTGGGCATCTAGGAGGTTGGGTGTCTGTGGAATTGGGGTGCTGGGGGCCCCTGTATCTCTTCTTAGCCCGAATCTCTGTGGGCCTGGGGTGTCCCCGACTGATGGGCCTAGAGCAGTGGTTCCCAACCTTTTCTTGGCCATGCCCCACCTAAGCGTCTAAAATCCCCTGTGACATATGATTCTCATTATTCAAAAAGTGAGCTCCTATTCACGTGGAGGAAGCCTAAAAGGCCATTAATTTGGTCTAAACAAGCTTCCAAAGAACATGGCAGCCATGAAAGAGAAAAATAAAAGGACGAAAGGACAGTGGAAGGACTGAGGAAGACAACACTAAGAACTTGTGGCAGTTTTGTTTCTTGTTTGTTTTTATTAATTTCAGAGAGGAAGGGAGAGGGAGAGAGAGAAACATCAATGATGAGAGGGAATCATGGATTGGCTGCCTTCTGCACACCCCTTACTGGGACTCAAGCCAGCAACCCAGGCATGTGCCCTTGACCGGAATCGAACCCGGGACCCTTCAGTCCGCAGGCTGACGCTCTATCCACCGAGTCAAACCGGCTAGGGCAAGAAACTGTTAAAAAAAATAATAATATTGTGAAGTGATGTGAAAAAATAGCAAATAAAGTTTCAAAACTTATAATAGAGAACTGAAATGCATACATATGTCACAATCATATTTATATACTGTACATGAGGCCCCTAGAACCATAAGAAATGCAAAAAATTCACTGTTAATAGCTCATTCTCAAATTGCCCCCCTAAAAATCAAATTGCCCCCCTGTGGGGCGTGTGCCCCACGTTGGAAACCACTAGCCTAGAGTCTCCCTGGGGTTGATATCTGGGCCCTCAGACCTCCCTGCGTCCTAAAACCTGGAGCTCCCCCCGTGAGGTGGGGTCCCTGTGGGGTTGGGGCTGGGGTCCCCAGAACTCTCCGCAGTCCTCAGGGATTTCTTCTCTGCTCCCCGTGGGGCCCGCAGAGACCTGCCTCCCAGCCCCATGGCTTCCCCAGGCCCCTGCGCATCACGCCTCACCCCTCCGCCTCCAGGTGCTACACTGCTCTGGACACCTGAGGGTCTACAAGCCCCCCGCACAGACTTCCTCAGCTGGGAGCCCCAACCTCGAGCCCCCCCTGCAATGCCTGGTGCTCATCTGTGAAGCCATCCCCCACCCGGACAGCCTGGAGCCCCCGCTGGGCCGGGGGGCCTTCCTCAGCCGCCACAGCCTGGACATGAAGTTCACCTACTGCGATGAGAGGTGGGCAGGAGCCCCTCCCGCCGCCCAGCTCCTCCTCTTCCTGTCTGCCCAAGTCGCTGAGTTTTCTGTGGGTCTTTTGATCTTTGATTCTCTCTCTCTCTCTCTCTCTCTCTCTCTCTCTCTCTCTCTCTCTCTCTCTCGGTTTCTCCCTCCCTGTCCGTTGCTCTCCTAAAAGGGGTCAATTCGTGTGAAAAAGCTAGGACCATGCCCAACAGGCAGTAAGCACTCAACACACTGTCCTTATTCATTCTCATTCTATCTCTCTCTTCTTTCTCTCTTCCTTCTGCTCTGCATTTCCTACCTTCCTTCCTCCCTTCATTTTTCTGCATCTTCCCTCTTTTCCTCACCCTGGCGTTGTACTCAGAAATGGTCACTCGGGGTTCAGACTGCTTGGGTTTAAATCGTGGCTGTGTGTCCCTGGCCAAATGGTTTCACCTCTCCGTGCCAGACTTTTGTCATCTGCCCTACGGAATGCTAACAGGACCTACTGTGCGCAGCTGTTCTGAGCACTCAGCCAGTTGCCTGGTACAAAGCACTATAGGAGGGTCTATGTTTTTAAAGTCATGAACATCCTTATTACTTTTTATTTCTATTCATTCTTTTTTAAAAAAATATATTTTATTGATTTTTTTATGGAGAGGAAGGGAGAGGGATAGAGTTAGAAACATCGATGAGAGAGAAACATCCATCAGCTGCCTCCTGCACATCCCCCACTGGGGATGTGCCCGCAACCAAGGTACATGCCCTTGACTGGAATCGAACCTGGGACCCTTGAGACCACAGGCCGACGCTCTATCCACTGAGCCAAACCGGTTAGGGCTTTCTATTCATTCTTTCTCATCTTTCTTTTTGTGACTTTCTTCCTTCCTATTTCTTTCACGTTCTTTTATTCCCTTTTCTTTGCTCTGCTTGTCCCATTCCCACCCTTCCTCCCCTCCCCCCCCCCCCATACTAGTTTCCTGTGGCTGCTATAACATTACCACAAATGCCGTGTCTTCAAACAACACAAATGCCTTCTCTCGAGCTCTGGAGGCGAGAAGTCTCACATGAGTCTCTTGGGGCTAAAATCAAGGGCCGTGTTCCTACTGGAGCTCCAGGGAGGCGTGGGCCTCCTCACCTTTTCCTGCTTCTGAGGACGCCCTGCATTCCGTCCTCAAAGCACATCACGCCAACCTCTTCCTCCACCATCACGTCTACTCTGGTCGCCTGCATCCCTCTTAGAAGAGCCCCCATGACTACATGGGTCCACCCAGATCATCCCTGGTAACCCCTGCCTCTCAAGACCCTTACCTGCACCGCACCTGCGAAGTCCCTTTTGGCGTGAGAGCTCACACATTCCCAGGTTCAGGAATGAGGATGGGCAGCCTGCCACGCTCTTCTCTCTCTCTTCCTTCCTCTCTCCCTTTCTCTCCGTGACAAACCTGCCTCTGTCTGTCTTGCTGGCTTGGTCCCTGGGTCCCCTGCCCCTTCCCTCAGCCGGTTGAACTGACCAGGCTCCACTGTCCCCGCCCCAGGATTGCTGACGTCGCTGGCTACAGCCCCGATGACCTGATTGGCTGTTCTGCTTACGAGTACATCCACGCGCTGGACTCTGATGCCGTCGGCCGGAGCATCCACACCTGTATGTGTTCGGGTTCTGTCTCCCTGGGCCTGAGCCTGCCAATACCAGCTAGCTCCCCGCTCCCCAAGGAACCCGGTCTTCCCTGGCTCCTCATACCGAACCCCCTGCCCCCAGAGCCTTCTCTCCCCAGTTGCCCGTGCCGTGGCCCTGAGTCCTCCCGTCCCCCTCCCCAGTGCTGAGCAAGGGACAGGCAGTAACCGGGCGGTATCGCTTCCTGGCACGGAGTGGTGGCTACCTGTGGACCCAGACCCAGGCCACCGTGGTGTCAGGGGGCCGGGGCCCCCAGTCTGAGAGTATCGTCTGCGTCCACTTCCTGATCAGGTAAGTGCACCTGGGTCTGGTCTGTGTGTGTGTATGTGTGTGAACAGGTGTATGTGTATGTGTGTGTGTGAACAGGTGTATGTGTATGTGTGTGTGTGTGTGTGAACAGGTGTATGTGTATGTGTATGTGTGTGTGAACAGGTGTATGTGTATGTGTGTGTATGTGTGTGTGAACAGGTTGTGTGTGTGTGTGTGTGTGTGCGTGCGCACAAGTGTGGCTGTATATTGTGTACATATGTGTGAGCGTGTATACACATACATGTACTAGTATATGGAACATGTGCGACTGAACACACACAGAGGCCTGTGTGCATATGAATGTCATAAGTACATATGCCATTCTTTTAAGTTAAAAGGACTATATTCAAGTTTAAATAAGAAATCTAGTAGATTCATGGGGACTTGTTTTGCTTTTCTTAAAAAATTGAGGTGTCTTTTACAAGTAGTACACTCATTCTTTGGGGTATATGGGTCTATGAGTTTTGATAAATGCATGGAATTGTGTAACATTACCACAATCATTGCCCCCCAAAAATTCTCTCACAGTGAACCCCACCCCACCCCTAATCCCTGGCAACCACTGATGTTCTCTGACCCTAGAATTTTGCCTTTCTCAGAATGTCATGTGCATGGAATTCTACAATATGTAATCTTTTCAGTCTAATCATTGACGAGAGGGAAACATCTTTGACTTAGCATAATGTATTTTTAAAATATATTTTTATTGATTTCAGAGAGGAATGGGGGGGGGGGGAGAACAAGAGAGAAACGCCATCAGTTGCCTGCCTCCTGCATGCCCCCGGTGGGGATCGAGCCTGAAACCCGGGCATGTGCCCTGACCAGAACTGCAAATCAAACTGTGACCTCCTGGTTCATAGGTCGATGCTTAACCACTGAGCCACGCCCACCAGGCAGCATAATGCATTTAATATCTATGTTGCGGTGTATATGACTCGTTCCTTTTTAATGCTGACTAGTCATCTGTGGTTTGAACCTGAATGGACCCCAGTCTGTTTATCCATTCACCAGTTGGAGGATACTTGGGCTGTTTCCTATTTTGGGTGACTATGAAAAAAGCTACTGTAAACATTCTCACACAAGACTTTGTGAAGCCATATGTTTTCAGTTCCCTTCGGTAAACACCTAGGAGTGGAATGAATGGGTCATGTGGTCAGTGTATATTTAACTTTGTAAGAAACCACCCGACTGTTTTCCCAAAGCGGGTTACCCTTTTGCATCCATCCCATCAGCAGTGTAGGAAGGTTCCAGTTGTATCCTCGACAGCGTTTTGTATTGGGTCTTTTTGTCTTGTTTGGTTTAATTAATTTTCTTTTAAAATATGAAAATATGCCAAACCGGTTTGGCTCAGTGGATAGAGCGTCGGCCTGTGGACTGAGGGGTCCCAGGTTCAATTCCGGTCAAGGGCATGTACCTTGGTTGCGGGCACATCCCCAGTAGGGGGCGTGCAGGAGGCAGCTGATCGATGTTTCTCTCTCATCGATGTTTCTAACTCTATCCCTCTCCCTTCCTCTCCATAAAAAAATCAATAAAATATATTTTTTAAAAAATAAAATAAAATATGAAAATATGTTTTTATTGATTTGAGAGAAAGAGGAAGAGGGAGGGAGAGAGAAACATCGATTGGTTGCCTCCCATATGCACCCCAACCAGGGACCTAACCTGAAACCTGAGCATATGCCCTGACTGGGAATCGAACTGGCAAACTTTTAGTGCACAGGACAGTGCTCAGCCAACTGAGCCACCCTGGTCAGAGCTTATTTGGTTTTAATTTTAGCCATTCTACTGGAAGTGTAATAGTAAACCTTACCCCTCCCCCGCTGTGCATCTTAGAAGTTTTCTACCATAACCACATGGTAACGAAGACAGCACATCCTATATAATAAAAGCCTAATATGCAAATTGTCCCCTCAACTGGGAGTTCAACCAGGGGGCAAAGCCAGCCAGCCAAGCGCCCATGGCCCCTCCCTCCTCCCTCCAGCCAGCCCCACCCTGGCTGTGGCAGCAGGCAGCCAGGGGAAGGGAGGCCCCAGCTACAGACCCTAACCGTGCACGAATTTTGTGCACTGGGCCTCTAGTTAATCACCTAAGACAAAAACAATGACAGCTTTTCTTTTTTAAAAAAAAAAAAAAATATTTTATTGATTTCAGAGAGGAAGGGAGAGGGGGAGAGAGATAGAAACATCAATGATGAGAGAGGATCATTGATCAGCTGCCTCCTGCGTGTCCCACGCTGGGAATTGAGCCTGTAGCCCTGAGGCATGTGCCCTCCTGGTTCATAGGTCAACACTCAGCCACTGAGCCATGCCAGCCAGGTGAGAATGACAGTTTTTCTTTGGTGATAACCTTCTGGGACATGGCACCAATTTCTGAAGTCTTAGGAATTTTCCCAGATCTTTTTTTGATTTAAATATGTATTTTTATTGGTTTCAGAGCGGAAGGGAGAGGGAGAGAGAGAGAGAAACATCAATGATGAGAGCAAATCGTTGATCGGCTGCCTCCTACAGGTCCCCTACTGGGGATAGAGCCGGCAACCGGGGCAAGTGCCCTTGACCAGAATCGAATCCGGGACCCTTCAGTCCATAGTCTGATGCTTTATCCACTGAGCGAAGCCAGCCAGGGCTTTCCCAGGTCTTTTTGATCAAGGAGAGGTTCTATTAGAAAATAGAAGTTTGTAACAGGAGTATTCGTACATGTCTTTATATTGCACACAAAAACAAACCGATCGTCTTTTAAATGTTCTCGATTCAACACCTTTTCAAATCAGAATCTTTGAATAACTTACATTGAAAGAGAAGGGACCTGCCTCCATCTCTCCTGGAAACTCCTTTTATTCATTACGAAGATTCGCCTTTTTATGGCCGGGCCCTGCGCTTTCCATTTTTCACACTCTAAGCAAAGAGCAGGCCTGGAGATTTCGGTTTTACTGGCAGAAAATGGGTGAGGAATGATAGGAGTTTACGTAGTAACAGTGAATTAAGGAGCATGTGGTATTCATCATCCTTAGTGCTGTGTACTTATTGTATAGTGCGCGACTGTGTGGTTGTTGTTGCTGATACTTTGTAAAGTCTACTCCCTTTAATATGTGAGTACATATATGAGTACATATATGAGTTAATATATGAGTACATATATTAACTCATTTAAGCCTCATAGCAACCTGGGGAGAAGGCACCATTATTATTCCGTCTTTATAGAGGAGGAAGCAGAGGCCCAGAGAGGTTCAGCCACATGCTCAAGGTCACACAGCTCATAAGTGGCAGAGCTGGGATTTGAACCCAGGCCCTACTGGCTGCAGAGCCCTTGCTCTTCACTACTAAGCAGTACTGATTGTCTAGGACAGCGATGGCGAACCTTTTGAGCTCGGCGTGTCAGCATTTTGAAAAACCCTAACTTAACTCTGGTGCCGTTGTCACATATAGAAATTTGTTGATCTTTGCAACTATAGTAAAACAAAGACTTATATTTTTGATATTTATTTTATATTATTTAAATGCCATTTAACAAAGAAAAATCAACCCAAAAATATGAGTTCGCGTGTCACCTCTGACACGCGTGTCATAGGTTCACCATCACTGGTCTAGGAAATGTTTGTGGAACGAATGAACGAGTCAACTCCGTGTGTCAGCCTGAGTGTATGGAACACGTGCACTTATCTGTCCTTGTATGTCCATGGGCGTATACGGGTGTTGTTGTTGGTGCCTGTGTGCACCGAGTGTGCGTGCATGTGTACTGTGTGTGCTGTGCTTTTCAAAGGGGAGGGGTGGCTTTGGTGCAGCCTAAACGGGGATGTTTCCAGCCCAGAAGGGGGTTGATAAGGGTGGGAAAGGATCATAGCTTCTCTATAAGAGCTGGCAGGAGGACCACCCACATTCTGTCCTGGACAGCGTCATGCAAATGAGATGCAAATGAGGGCCTGGTCCTCCGCCACAGACCATTTCTCCAGAAGCCAGTTGGCTCAGGAACATTTGGATTGTCTCTACAGCTAGGGACTGCCGGGAGGGGAGGCGCGGGGGACGTAAGAAGGATGTATTTATAAAGCCATTCCCTTGAACGTCTATGAATAGAATCTTCATAACTAAAATCTTATTCGTTAAAATATATCCCTATCAATTCTTCATATTTGGTAACATAGGAATGTTAAATATATATTCTTCATGAATTCCTTTTAATGAATGTTTATGAATACGTATCTATAAAGAGGGTATTTCATTTTTATACCTTTTACTCTCCCCGTCCCTGCCCCCTCAGTTCCCCACCCGCCTCAGCCTGCTCTCTCTACCCAAGCTGTACTAAATGCCAACTCTTTTTTCTGTCTTTCCTTCCACAGAGGGAGCTGGGGAAGACACACTCAACTTTCTTGTAAATGCTATTATAATAAAAAGCATTCGAGACCAATCAAATCCTTAAATCCAGAAACAAGTAAATGTGGCCAATTATTTCCTGCACGATGCCCTCCTGCCCCCCGGTGGGATTGCCTCCTAAGACAGGACATCATCCGAGGGGGCTGCCTGGGCCGGCCGAGGACCCTCCCTGACTCCCCCTCCCCTTTCTGCCCTGTACCCAGCCGGGTGGAAGAGACCGGAGTGGTGCTGTCCCTGCAGCAAACGGAGCGACGTTCTCGCAGACCCCTGCAGCCAGCCACCCCCTCTCAGAAGGACACCCCCAACCCTCGGGCCAGCCTTGGTATGGGGCAGGGCTGGGGCTGGGAGGGGTTGTGTCCCCAGGATGCTTAGGAGAAAGCCCAAGCACCTTAACACGGTTCACCCCGTGTGGCCTGCCTCCTTCCTTTTCTTACCTTAAGATCACACCAGCTCCTGCGGTGCTCTCTCGGACTAATCGCACCAGCCCCTTTCTGTGCCTCAGGGCCTTTGCACATGCCGTTTCCTCTGCCCAGAAAGCTCTCCTCTCTCCTGTCCTCCCTCTTTTCCTGTGGCCCTGGGATGATGGCTTCAGTCTTGTACTCTCTGCTCTGGAACCTGCCGTGGCTCCCCATTGCGCCCACCCTTCACTTCCCGCCCCCTGCTTCACTGTTCTTCGGCGTCCAGTCATCGTGACCCTCCCAAATCTGGTTCCTCTCTACCTCTTCCTTCTCCCCAGCCCTGGGATGAGCTGCCCTCTCTGTTTACTCTTCAGGGCCTCACCTGCTCCAAGCTGTTGCTGGCAGTCCATGCGCCTGGGTGTGGTGTGGGGTTGACAGTCTCCTTTCCTTTTCTGGCTCAGAACTGGCTCAGGCGATGTCTTGACCTGCAGCGACTTTAGAACCTCTTTGAGGGCCTTGGGCCAGTCTTTTCCCTCCAGAGCCAAGTAGCCGAATGCTGCTCTGTGCGGTTGGAAAACTGGGTCCAGCCATGTCTATTTTAAATATTCGAGTATTTCCCCACCACTGGGCAATTGCTACTCTCTCGGGCCTCCTGTGTGCCCTCCCCACCCCACGTTGCCCCATGACCAAAGGGAAGGCACCTGGCCCAGCAAGGGTTCCCCAGGACCCAGCTCCCCAGCCCCGTGAACGGTGTCCACCCTGATTGGTTGTTGAAGATGTCAGCTATGCTCCCTGGGGTTGGCGGGGAGGACTCTACTCTTCCGCCCTGGGTTCCATCCTGTGTCCTCCCCATCTCCATGTGCCCTGCAGACGTCTCTGGTCCCCGGATCCTGGCCTTCCTACACCCCCCTGCCCTGAGCGAGGCCACCCTGGCCGCTGACCCCCGCCGCTTCTGTAGCCCTGATCTCCGTCGCCTCCTGGCACCTATCCTAGATGGGACTGCGGTAGCTGCCACCCCCAGCGCACCCCCAGCCACACGGCGCCCCCCGAGCCCCCTTCCGGTAAGCAATCCCTAGCACTGGAGCCCTGAGGATCCGGGCTGCTTTGTTCTTTGGCTTGAACCTTGCTGGGCCTCAGTTTCTCCATCTGTGTAGTGGGAAGGTTGGGATGACATGGGTCCTGGGGTTTTCTTAAGACCTAGATTCCAGATTGTTCAACTGTGATCTGGACCAAAACCGGGGGTGTGTTTGGATTGGCATGGATGGCCCCCTCCTGGCTTGTGACAAAGCACCAGGCTCTCTGAACTCTGACTTCAAGGACTCAAGAACGTCTAATGTCTTAAATTACACGACTCTGCATTCAAAGCCTGAATCTGCCACTTACCAGCTGTGTTACCCTGGACAAGTGGGGCCTGTTTCTTCACCTGTAAAGTTTGGATAATGGCAAACAGCCACCTCGTTGGTTATTGTGAGGGTTCACGGGAAGACCTTAGTAGGAACCTGACGCCTAGTACGTGCTCAATAGACCATAGCGGTTGCTGTTTTTACCTAAGAGTCCAGATAGCCTGACCTTTGACTCAGGGGTCCATATTGACTTTCCTCATCCCGACCCTATTTTCCCAAATATCTTCTCTCCACCACAAAACTAGGTTGTGACCTTTGACCTTACTGTTCGCCCTTGGGATAGCAGTACTTCTGCATGGTTTCCCCCCCAACCCCCACCCCAAGACCTTTAACCCCAGAGGGCCTGCCTGTCTTGGCCTCGGGCTCTGGTCTTTCAAACCTTTGATGTTTTTCCTGTTGACCTGATCCCTACACTCTTTGAACACCCAGGTTCAGACCTCATTTGCATTTGCTATTTGACCCTCTTGGTGTCCAGCTGTTTGAGATCTGACCCTCCCTTCTACTCCCGAACTCAAATGTCTAGACCAGTGGTTCTCAGCCTGTGGGTCGCGACCCCTTTGGCGGTCGAACGACCCTTTCACAGGGGTCGCCTAAGACCATCCTGCGTATCAGATATTTACATTAGGATTCATAACAGTAGCAAACATGACAGTGATGAAGTAGCAACGAAAATAATTTTATGGTTGGGTCACAACATGAGGAACTGCATTGAAAGGGCCAGAAGGTTGAGAACCACTGCCCTAGACTGTCTTACTGTTGACATCGCCCAGGCTCAAGGGATGCCTCTACTCTGTCTCCTCACAGGCTGATCTCCCAGATGAGCCACCTGTGGACACGGAGAACGCACACAAAGTCTTGGCCTCTGGGAGAGACCTTGAGGCAGTGGAGACAGATCTAGCCACAGCTCAGGTAAGGGCAGGCGTGGGGGCCGACATATCTGGGCTTCGAAGAAAGGTAGCGGGATGGTTGAAGGGATGAGTGGGTGGACAGATGGACAGACCATTGTATTCATTAGGTGGGTGGTGGTGGGTAGATGGATGGGTGATGTTTAGACAGATGTTTGGATAAAACCATGGTCGGCAAACCGCGGCTCACGAGCCACATGCGGCTCTTTGGCCCCTTCAGTGTGGCTCTTCCACAAAATACCACGTGCGGGCGCACACGGTACGTGCGATTGAAACTTCATGGCCCATGTGCAGAAGTCAGTATTTTGTAGAAGAGCCGCACTGAAGGGGCCACAGAGCCGCATGTGGCTCGCGAGCCGCAGTTTGCCCGACCACTGGGAAAGACCTTTGGTTCATTGGATGGATGATGGGTGGAGAATGTTTGAATTATTGAGTGGATAGATCAATGATAGTGGCATGATGTATTAATTATCTATTTCTATATAACAAATTACCCCAAAACTCAGCACCTTAAAACAACTCACCTGTATGATGTCACACAGTTTCTGAGAATCAGGAATCTGGGAGCTGCTTAGCTGGGTGGTTTTTGCTCGGGGTGCCTCATGAGGCTGAAGTCAAGCTCTCAGTCAAGGCTGCAGTCACCTGGGGCTACAGAGGATCCACTTCCAAACGCATGCACAGGGTTGTTGGCAGGACTCGGTCCCTCGCTAGCTCTGGCTGGAGGCCTCCTTCCTGACCTTTGTGCCCTCACACCCCGGCAGCTGGATTTCCCCACGGCAAATAATCCAAGACAGGGTGAGGGTGAGCCCAAGACCGAAGATGCTGTCTTTTATAACTTAATCTTAGAAGTGACATTTTTCTGTAATGTAGACCAACCCTAGTACAATGTGAAAGGCAACCACATTCAAGTGTGAAAACCCAAATACAAGGACCATTGGGGCTCCATGACAAAGTCACTCCCCATGACAGCATCCGCTTCAATTCCAGAATGTCACACACGCTTAAAACCAGGTCTGGGTGCAGCGAACCCCCATCTCAATCTGTTGGCCTGTGAGCTGAAGAGACAAGTTATCTGCCACCCACATACCCCACATACAGCTGTGGGAGAGGCATAGAATAACTGCTCTATGCACTCCCATTCAAAAGGGTCAACGGAGAACACACAGGTGCCACTGGTCCACAGCAGTTTTGAAATACAGTTAGGCAAATATCGGCAGTTCCTTGATCAGAACTCATTCCGACGACTTGCCAGCTTTTCTTCGTGGTGGTTGGCCCGGCCTTCTGGGCTTTGGGCTCCTCACTGTCGTCATCCTTCCTTTTTCATAAAATGCAACATGTGCTGCAGCTGGGTGGTTTTCATACCTGGCTTCCAGCTGAGGGAACTTTGGTGGTCCAAAGGTCTCTTTTCATTTTGTTCCATTTCTGTCCCTTTCAGTCCAAGCTGGCAATGTTTCTCCCCATATAATTCTCTTAAAATTTTTTCATGGGTCTTATGTGAATTTCTTTGGGAGTTCACACCATTAAAGTCACACCCACAAATTTCATGGAGATAGAACCTTGTCTACCTTGCACTGCTGCTGAGATGGCTGAGTGACAGAGCCCTGAAGTTGAATAGAAGCCCTATTGTGTTTGGGAAAATCTATGAGGCACATCCCTAAATTCTAGAATCTTTTGTCTGAGTCTGAAGGATACTGCTAGGCGCCACCTTTGATCCCTCTGAGGGTTTAAAAGGTATGTTATAGTCACGCCCTGGCTTCATCTTCAGACCATGCTTTCCTGAGAGCGCCCGTCTTTGCTCAGAAGCCATTTCTTAATTGCAGCATCATTTGCCATCCGGGGAGTTCCCAGAGGCAGCTAAACCCAAGGTGAAAGACACAGTCCTCCAGACTACCAAGTCTGCCCAAGTTCAGGGGTCCTCAGGGCCACCCTCACTTCACACCATCTGGATTAAAATTCAGAGATTCCCACAGACTCCCTCAAGTTCAATGTTTTTCTAGAACGAGGCATAGAACTTAGGAAAGTGCAATAGTTATTATTACAGTTGTATTACAGCCAAAAAAAAAAAATATTATAACCAAAGGTCGAGATGCATAGGGTGGAACCTAGGACTGGGAGGGTCCCAAATGCAAAGCTTCCATGTCCCAGGGAGGTGTAACCCTCCTGGCATTGAAGTGTGACACTCACACACAGAGTATTGACACTCAAGGAAGCTCACTCAAGCTTTTAAGGTTTTGCAGGCATGACTGCTTGAGTTCCTGCCCAGGTACTTGGGCTTGATCACCATCTCTTCCTCACCCAAGACACACACTTTCCTTGAAGGTCAGGCTGATTTCACACGGCCCAAACCCCAACCCTCTACTCACATGATTAACCTTTCTGACATAGCCAGGCCTCACTCACCCTGAGTCATCTTGTTAGCATAAACCAGTGGTCGGCAAACTGCGGCTCTTTGGCCCCTTGACTGTGGCTCTTCCACAAAATACCACGTGCGGGCGCGCACGGACAGTGCGATTGAAACTTCGTGGCCCATGCGCAGAAGTCGGTTTCCGGCCTGGGCGAGTCTGTTTTGAAGAAGTACTGTTGATATTTGGCTCTGTTGACTGATGAGTTTGCTGACCACTGGCATAAACTATCAGGCATGGCCCAAGGGGCCCACCCTGAACAGCAAAGACACACCTATCACTCAGGAAATTCCCTTGGTTTCTATGTTACCTCCCAGGAGCCAGGTCAAAGGCCAAACCTCTTTTTGGGTAAAGTTAATGCTTCAGGATGCAGAGAGATTGAGAATTTTCAAGATTGTCAAGTCCCAGCTCCTTCGTGTTTAACCTTTCTTTCTTTCCTTTTTTTAAATCTGTTTTTTATTGATTTCAGAGAGGAAGGGAGAGGGAGAGAGAGCTAGAAACATCAATGATGAGAGAGAATCATGGATCGGCTGCCTCCTGCACACCCCCACTGAGGATCGAGCCTGCAACCCAGCCATGTGCCCTTGGCCGGAATCGAACTCGGGACCCTTCAGTCTGCAGGTCGACACTCTATCCACTGAGCCAAACCGGTTAGGGCAACATTTCTTTATTTGGCTTCTCTCTCCTCTTGCCTTCTACTCCAAGTAACAAGAAGAAATCGGGCTGCTCCTTCGACAGTCTGCCTAGAACTCTCCTTAGCTAGATCACCCAGGTCACTAGTTACATTTTTTCCCCCCACACAACTGCAGGTGGCAGTGTTGCTAAACTTTCAGCTACTACACATCAAAAATCCCCTCTCCTCTGTTCAAAGAACATGTTCCTCACTTCCCTTTAAGCCAGTGGTTCTCAACCTTCCTAATGCCACGACCCTTTGATACGGTTCCTCATGTTGTGGTGACCCCCAATTTCATTGTTACAAATTGAACATAATGAAAGCATAGTGATTCATCACAAAAACAATATGTAATTATATATGTGTTTTCCGATGGTCTTAGGCGACCCCTGTGAAAGGGTCGTTCGACCCCTAAAGGGGTCGCGACCCACAGATTGAGAACCGCTGCTTAAGGCCCTCCCTGGCACACTCCTCTAGGTTTAGCTCTTCACTAACATTTTTTCAAGGTAACCTAGGTCTTCTCCCCAGGGCTCTCCAGGCAGTGGGCTTCTGTTACAGCAGTGCACCACTCTCAGTTCCAAAATCTCACCTGTAATCTACTTCTGGATAACAAGCTACTTTATAAGTTAGACATTTAAAAAAGCAATTATGTGCCTGGCCAGTGTGGCTCAGTGATTGAACGTCAGCCTATGAACCAGGAGGTCATGGTTCAATTCCTGGTCAGGGCACATGCCCGGATTGTGGGCTCGATCCCCAGTGGGGGGCGTGCAGGAGGCAGCTGATTGATGATTCTCTCTCATGATTCATGTTTCTATCTCTTTCTCTCCCTCTCCCTTCCTCTCTAAAACCAATAAATATATATTTTTTTAAAAACCAGCAATCATGTATTACCTCACATCATTTCTGAGGGTCAGGAATCTGGAAGCCACTTAGCTTGGTGGCTTGGCTCAGGTCTTTCACGAGATTGCAGTCAAGAGGTCATCCGGGGTTGCAATCATCGGAAGCCCTGACTAGACTAGACCCGTGGTCGGCAAACTGCGGCTCGCGAGCCACATGCGGCTCTTTGGCCCCTTGAGTGTGGCTCTTCCTAAGCCTTAGGAGTACCCTAATCAAGTTAATAACAGTGTATCTACCTATATAGTTTAAGTTTAAAAAATTTGGCTCTCAAAAGAAATTTCAATCGTTGTACTGTTGATATTTGGCTCTGGTGACTAATGAGTTTGCCGACCACTGGGCTAGACAATTCATTTCCAAGGTCACTCACTGGCTGTTGGCAAGGGATCTGTTTTTTGCCATGTGAGTCTCTCCATAGGGCTGCTCACGACATGGCTTTCCCCAGAGCAAGTGATCCGAGAAAGAGAGTGCAAAAAAAGCCATGGTGTCTTTATAACCTAACTAGAGGCCCGATGCATGAAGATTCATGCAAGAATGGGCCTTCCTTCCCCTGGCTGCCGTCACCACCTTCACTCTGGCCTGAGCCGCCTTTCCGCCTTCCCACGCTGCCCAGAGGCCAGGAGGGGCTGGGGCGGTGCAGAACGCCTGCATCATGGGAACGACGCAAGCCTCCTGCCCCAGCCCTGGCCACTCAGTACCTGCATATGCAAATTAACCTGCCATCTTTGTTGGATTAATTTGCATACTCACTCCTAAATGGCTGGTGGGTGTCGCAAAGGTACAGTCAATATGCATCTTTCTCTTTCATTAGTGTATATGTTGGAAGTCACACACCATCATCTCGTCAATAACCTATTGTTCCCAGGGCAACCCTAGTCACTGTACTAGGGGACTGCATGAAGGCGTGAGTGCCAAGACGAGAGGATCCTCAGGGGCCATGTTGGCTGGTTACCACAGAGTCCTACCCATTTTACAGATGGGAAACCTGAAGCTCAGAACGCAGCAGGCACAGAACTCCAAAGTGGGGGAGCTAGGACACGAGCCCAGGCCCGTCCGAGGCCAAGGCTCATGCTTTTACCTCCCTCCTGCCCTCCGCAGGACGGCGATGCCCTGGATTTGGAGATGCTGGCCCCCTACATCTCCATGGATGATGACTTCCAGCTCAACTCCAGTGAGCACCTGCCCAGGCTCTACCACAGACCTCTGGGGGTTGCCCCCCGGCCTCGCGCCCGGAGCTTCCACGGCCTGTCTCCCCCAACTCCTGAGCCCTCCCTGCTGCCCCGCTGGGGGAGTGACCCCCGGCTGAGCTGCTCCAGCCCTTCCAGGAGGGACACCTCCGCCCCATCCATGGCTGGGGCTCGGAAGAGGTGAGCCACAGTAGAGGAGGGATACCAAGGGAGTGTGTAGGGTCCCTGACCCCCTGTCTTGCTCCTGCCTCCTTCTCCAGCCTCATTCTCATCACCCCTCCCACACTGACCTGCCCTAGCCGTACCCACAGTGTGCCCCGCATGGCATGTTTGTCCCAACCTCTATGTCTATGCCTAGGCCTCGCCCTCCTTCTGGAGTGCACTTCACTGTGCTCACCATCTAATCCAGCGGTTCGCAACCTGTGGGTCGCGACCCCTTTGGGGGTCGAACGACCCTTTCACAGGGGTCGCCTAAGACCATCAGAAAACACATATATAATTACATATTGTTTTTGTGATGAATCACTATGCTTTCATTATGTTCAATTTGTAACAATGAAAATACATCCTGCATATCAGATATTTACATGACGATTCATAACAGTAGCAAAATTACAGTTATGAAGTAGCCACGAAAATAATTTTATGGTTGGGGGTCACCACAACATGAGGAACTGTATGAAAGGGTCGCGGCATTAGGAAGGTTAAGAACCACTGGTAATCCAATCCCACCAGTCAGCCAGGCCCCCTCCGTTGGGACATATTTATATCTGGCCTACTGACGGTTTTTGTCATAGTTAAGAGGACTTGCCACAATGTCAGAGACACTGTCTGGAACTAAGTTTCTTTTCTTTTCTTTTTTTTAAATATATTTTATTGATTTTTTACAGAGAGGAAGGGAGAGAGATAGAGAGTTAGAAACATCCATGAGAGAGAAACATCGATCAGCTGCCTTCTGCACACCTCCTACTGGGGATGTGCCTGAAACCAAGGTACATGCCCTTGACCGGAATCGAACCTGGGACCTTTCAGTTCGCAGGCCGACGCTCTATCCACTGAGCCAAACTGGTTAGGGCTGGAACTAAGTTTCTAATACCTTTGAGAATCTATTGAAAGCTATGGACTCTTTCCCAAGAAAATTGACCTACACATAGAGACACACACTTTGCATATAATGTCAGAGGGTCCGTGTCCCTCTTCCAAAGATGTTAGATTCCCAATACTTAAGCTTTTGCTCGCCAACTTGTGGGCACACGCCCATTTAGTCTCCAGAGTGGTCTCTACTGTCCATGTGAAGCTTTTATGCATACATCTCAGTATTCCCCAAGGCTCCCAGCTTGACACTGGGTATACAGTTGGTGCCTAATAAAAACTTGTTAAGCCCGGTCGGCGTAGCTCAGTGGTTTAGCGTCGACCTGTGAACCAGGGAGTCACTGTTCAATTCCAGGTAGGGACATATGCCCAACCTCTCGGTCCCCAGTGTGGGCTCGGTCCCCAGTGTGGGGCGTGCAGGAGGCAGCTAGCTGATCGAAGATTCTCTCTCATCATTGATGTTTCTCTCTCTCTCTCCCTCTCCCTTCCTCTCTGAAATCAATAAAAATATGTTTTAAAAAAACTTTTTAAAATGAGGAAGGTAGTAAATTAATGAATATAGTAGGTGGAGGGATAGATAGATGATGGATGGATGGTAAGTGGGTGAGTGAGTGGATGGATACGTGAATGAATGAAAGGATAGATAGATGGAGGTTGTATGGGTAGGTGATGGATCGTTGGATAGATGAAAAGGAAGATAGATTGATGGATGGATGGATGAATGGATGGATGGATGATTGGACAGGTGGATGGATGAGTAGATAAATAGGTGCTTGGGGGAGTGAATGAATACTCGTCATCTACTCATACCAGTGCCCACCCCTGCCCATGTTTGCTGTGTTCTGAGATTCCTGCCTGTTTTCCTCCAGGACCCTGGCCCGGAGCTCAGAGGATGAGGCCGAGGGGGCAGAGCTGCTGGGGGTGAGACCCCCTAAACGGTCCCCCAGCCTAAGACCCGAAAACTTCCTACTGCCTCCTCTCAGCCTGGTATGTGTGGGGATTTGTGGGGTTCCCTGGCCCTCAGAACCCAGCAGGCTTAAGCTTACCCTTCTATGGATGGGAGAACCAGAGGGGACAGGGCTGATAGTCAGATAGAAGGTCGGTAACCCATCTGGAGCTAGGACCTTGATATTTTAGCTCAGGTAAGGGGTAAGAAAGGGCTTTGGAAATGTATGTAAGTTGGTCGGAAGTACTAAGAAGACATTTAAGCAGGGGAAGGGGGAAATGACAAGGGTCAGTATCTGCTCCTGTGGGTCCCCTTTCAAACCTAGAACAGGTTTGGCTTTGGATGATTCGTGTAGTGTTAAGAGTACAGACACTAGAGTCTGACTGGGTTCCGGTCAGCCACCTAGTGACTGAGACCTTGGGCAGGTGATGTCCCCAAACTGAGCCTCAGTTTCCTCACCTGGAAAGTGGGAGAGTTACATCTCACAGGACTGCCCTGAGAAGCAAACGAAACCAGGCCCTTCACTGTTCCTCAGCGGGCGACAGATAGATGAGATAGAAAAGCAAAGCAAACTAGGACAGCATCCCTTCCCCTGCATTCTCCCTGCCTCGTCTTGCCCTGGTTGTCAATTCTGCACAACAGCAACCCTTTCTAAAAACCAGCCAAGACTGTGGCTTCCACAAGGCCTCCCCCCCACTCCAGGACCTTCCATGGCTCCCTACTGCCCCAGAAGAGCTCTCTGGCTCCTCACCCAACAGGGCTGTTTGAACATGAGGGGTGTGATGGATAATATCAATAACTTATACACTGAGTGGCCAGATTATGATGACCACCCCATCAGTACTTCATTGACACTTCCAAAAATACTGAATATTGAAAACTTCCTAAGCAAATACTCTCAAGGTTTTATTATTATTACTAGAGGCCCGGTGCACGGATTCGTGCACCGGTGCGGTCCCTCAGTCTGGCCTGCGCCCTCTCGCATCCGGGACCCCTCAGGGGATGTCAGAGGCTCGGTGCACAGATTTGGCCCGACCCCCACAGGCCAGGCCGAGGGGCCCTACCAGTGCATGAATCCGTGCACTGGGCCTCTACTATGCATATAAGATCTTTAGTTAATCTCTTCCTGCCCTCCCCCCTACCCTTTTCCATCTAAGATTCATCAGTCTGTTCCATGTTTCCATGCCTGTGCATTGAGCGTCTGCCCCCTGGCGGTCGGTGCGTGTCATAGCTGCCAGTCGAACAGTAGAACGGTCACTTAGGCTTTTATATATATAGATATTTGCATAACTAATTCACTTCACTGCACTGATGGGGTGGTCATAATAATCTGGCCACTCAGTGTATTTATGAGTGCCTGCCACATGCCGGACACTGACTGCACTAATTCCTTGCATGATTAAATTATTCAATCCCCACGACCATTCTTGAAATTTTATCACCATCATCGCCCACACTTACAAAGGCGAGTTTAGGTAACTGCATCCGTCAGAGTCTGGGCAAGAACCACACGCTCACAGGGGGTGTTGAGGAGAATTTAACGGGACTGTTGGCAATGGTGTGGGCAGCATGTGAGGAATCGACAAGGGCGGGTGCAGCGCCCCCGGGCCCGCAGTGTGGGGAGCTGGCACCACCCCTCGCCTGAAGGCAGAGAGCAGGGGATGGTCAATCCATGGATCCGGGCTGCCTGTCACTGCGTGAGCCAATTAAGCAGCGAGGGTTGAATCATATGGGAGCGTTTATTCCAATCCTGCCGGCAGCATGGGAGAGCAGCAGGTCATCCACAAAAACCCGCTCCGCAGCCCCCCATAAACCAGCTGTCTATGTGGGGTAGGACAAGGATTACGTGGGGAGGCAGGGATTGCAGGCCTGGGGAGTAGGCCCTGCAGGTTGGGGAGGGACTCCACTGTTTGGGCAACAAGGGTGTTCATCTTCCCATGAGAAGGGACCGCATTCCAAGGTTGACTCCCAGGTCCCGGGGGCGTACAACTCCCAGCCAGGTCAGAATGTCCTTTTTTTAACCAGCACAAGGCGATCATGGTTACCAGAGTTTGATTAATAACCATGGCTGGTCCCCAGTATTCTATTCTTGCCCCCTAACAACTGGATCTTGGAGAAGGGGAGCTCTGCCTCAGAAGAGCTGGAACCTTCTGTGGAGGGACACAGCCAACCGAGGACCCAGCAGCTAGAAGATCAACACCCTCCTCTCCCTCCTCCCACCTGCTGGCACCTCCCATTCCATGAATCCAACGGGAACACTCAGAGCGCGGTTGTGCCTTGGTGGGGTCCACACACAGAGCCTGCTGGGCACAGAGGGGGGCACACGGCTGGAGGGACAGGAGGAAGGTGTCTGGGACGGTGACTTCCCAAAGTCACACAGCTGATGAGCAGCCACTGAACCCCACTGTGCCCCTAACCACTGCACCGTCCTGCCTCCTTGGATATTGATCTCCATGATGCTGGTTTTGTCTCTGTCCTGCAGAATTTCCTCCTGACAGGACCAGCCCCGGGGCGGCAGCAGGATCCCAGCACCCACCTCCTGGAACTGAATGAGCCCCTGGGTGAGTAGCAGCCTAGCTATGCAGACGCCCTGGGCCCCCTCTGAGAGGGGAGGGGACGCCCCGAGGGAGGCTTGGAATCTGCGCCTAGCCCCACGCCTAGACCTCCTGAAGCCTGTGTCTGATTACGCCTTGGGGCTGAGTCACAACTCGGTCATTACCAACTGAGTGGTTAGGAGAAACAATTTTTTAAAAAATATATATTTTATTGACTTTTTCCAGAGAGGAAGGGAGAGGGATAGAGATTTAGAAACATCGATGAGAGAGAAACATTGATCAGCTGCCTCCTGCACACCCCCCAACAGGGGATGTGCCCGCAACCAAGGTACATGCCCTTAACCGGAATCGAACCTGGGATTGCAATTTTGCTTCTGGTGTCTCTGTTCCACCCCCACCCCATCAATTAGGATCTATCCTAATAGTTCTTACCTCAGGGAGATGCTTAAAGACTCGTGACACAGGGAACGCTTAGCATGAGACCTGTTCATAGTAAATGCTTAAGAAACACCTGCCTCAGCGAAACCGGTTTGGCTCAGTGGATAGAGCGTCGGCCTGCGGGCTAAAAGGTCCCAGGTTCGATTCCGGTCAAGGGCATGTACCTGGGTTGTGGGCATATCCCCAATAGGAGATGTGCAGGAGGCAGCTGATCGATGTTTCTAACTCTCTATCCCTCTCCCTTCCTCTCTGTAAAAAATCAATAAAATATATTTAAAAAAAAAAAAGAAAGAAAGAAAGAAACGCCTGCTTCGGTGCCACACTGCTTCCATGGCACCTCTGCAGAGTGCAGGGTGCGAGACAAACCGCTCTCTGGTCTGTGATACTATGACACCATCTGCCGGAGCTCCACTTGAAACCTCCAGGCATCGGCCAGAGAGGTCTTTTCAAAGCAGGAATCTGCCCCTGGCCTGCCTCTGCTCTAAAGCCTTCCATGGCTCCCTAGTGCCCTTCGGAGAGACTCAAGTCTCCGGGGTCTGACTGCTGCCTCATCTCAGACCACACTCTGCTTCCTCACACCCTCTGTTTCGGCCACAGTTGCTGTTTTTAGAGTCATTCTGTCCTTTTATACATGTAACAAATGTATCTATAGAACACACAGGAAATGCCAGACACTGTCCTACGAGCCAGAGACCCTGTGAACGAAACATAGACATCTCTGCCCTTGCAGAGCTGACATTCTAGTGAGGGAGAGAGACGGTTCAGAGATGTTAACGTAAAAACATTCAAACCCGTCAAGAACTTTTGTGAGTATATTTGAGCCAACCTGTTGACAATTGCCAGGAAGCAAAATCTCAACGTATTGGGATAAAGCTCCGGAGAATGGTGGTTTTTCACCTTGTTTTATACGTTACATTCAAAGGAGACGTCCGTGGGTCACATGAAATCCATTGGTGATAGATTAGCGAGGCGGGAGAAAGCAAAAGGGGGGGGGACCTCTGGGATTGGATAAAAAGTAAAATGATAGACACCTACTTCTTTTACCTCAGTCAATAATTAACGTGATAACAGTAACAATGAAGGACTTTGTGGTGTCTGTCCCGGCACCCAGGGCATTTGGTTGTGCCGGGAGGCGTCCGGAAAAAAGGGAAGTTACAAGCTACCCTGACATTTCTGTGATATGTTATCATAGATGCAAAAAGACAGTAGGCTCAGTTAAGGTAAAGGTTGACCTTGTGGGGAAGATACTGGCCTAGGACATGACTAACCACCGTAACAGTAACCGCTCTTAGTTCGTTTTCATTTCAGACCATCCTTTGTGGTTACTTTAGGTCTCTAAGTTTGCAACACTGCCCTGCAGGCCTTCCCTGAGCTAGTCAGGTCAGCATGTGGCCTCCCCCAGCTCCACCCCCCCCCCCCCCCGGCCCCGTCCACAGAATGAAGAAACAAATACAGTAAAGAGTGCAGGAGACAAGAAGTGCTACTGGAGAAAATAATGCATACAAAGGGACAGGGAGTCCCTGGGTGGGGGGATTTCAATTTTATGATTAGGCGTGGTCTCATTCAGAAGGTGACGTTTGAGCAAAGACCTGATGGAGGTGAGGGAGTGAGCCGTGACAGTTTCTGGGGGTAGTGCATTCCAGATGGAGGGAAGAGTGAATACAAAGATCTGGGGTGGGGTATATCTGTCTTATTTGGGGGAAATAAGACCAGAGTGCTAGAGCAGAGAGAGGAGGGGAGAGAGGGGTAAGGCAGATTCCACAGGGCCTCTGTAGGGCACTGCAATGGCTTTTAAATCATCTTGCTTGTGGAGGCTGCCTCAGGGCCTTTGCATGTGCTGATCTGGGTACCTGAAATGTTTTTCCATCTATTCTTTGCTAATGACTGCAACCTTTATTTTTAAGTTTTTTTAAAAAATTATTATTATTATTTTTAAACCTCACTTAAGGATATCTTTCCTTCTTTTTTTCCATTGATTTTTAGAGAGAGTGGAAGAGAGAGAGGGAAAGACAGAGAGAAATATCAATGTGAGAGAAACACATGGATTGGTTGCCTCCTGCAGGAAGGAGCCTGCAACCGAGGTACATGCCCTTGACCAGAATCAAACCTGGGACCCTGAGGTCCAAAGGCCAACACTCTATCCACTGAGCCAAACAGACTAGGACTGAGTGCATCCTTGAGATCTCTATCAAATATTACTCCTTCCATGAAGCCCCCCCCCCCCCCCAACTTCCAAAGCTCAGGGCTCATAGCACTCATCGCAGACCATATTTACATAGGTCAGTGGTCGGCAAACCTCGGCTTGCGAGCCACATGTGGCTCTTTGGCCCCTTGAGTGTGACTCTTCCACAAAATACCATGTGCGGCCACGCACGTACAGTGCGATAGAAACTTCGTGGCCCGTGCGCAGAAGTCGGTTTTCGGCCTGGGCGAGTCTAATTTGAAGAAGTGGCGTTATAACAAGTGGGGGGTGTCGGTTGGTCGGGCGACGGGAGACACGGGCGCAGGCGGGCCTCAGGATACGCAGCGTGGGGGAGGCGTGTGCGATTCATGCACAAGCTGAGTGAGCCAGCCAGTCAGCAGTCTCGTGTGCAGTGGTTAGTGCAAATCGTGCGGCGGGTGACAAAAGATAGACGAAACAAGTATACAAGACGAGTGTGGATGGGAGAGTTGGAAGGGGTCGACCTCAGCGAACGTACCTCAATCAGATTGAGGACGTTTTTAGCAAAGGCCAGCTTAGGAGTACCCTAACGAAGTTAATAACAATGTACCTACCTGTATAGTTTAAGTTTAAAAAATTTGGCTCTCAAAAGGAATTTCAACCGTTGTACTGTTGACATTTGGTTCTGTGGACTAATGAGTTTGCCGACCACTGACATAGGTGACTGTGTAGCTATTTGGTAATTGGCTGCCTTCTCCCTGTGGGTGTGAGCCCTGTGAATGCAAGCGCCAGGCCCATCTTGGTCACTGCTGTGTGGGCAGGCTGGCCAGTGGCTGGGCACAGAGCGGATCCTCGGTATATATTTGTAAAGGAAGAGCTAACATTTATCTAACACTCACTCTGCCAAGATGTGTGCTAAATTTACATACATGACCTAACGGACTCCCCTAACTGGAATGCCAGCCCCACAAGGTCATGGAGTTTCATCCATCCTGTTCCCTGCTGTGTCCCCAGTGCCTGGCGCACAGTAGGTGTTGTGAGAAAATGCACACCTGTCCGAATTCAAATGACAGACTAGAGAGTGGGTATCCCCTCCCCTCTCGAGAGCTGTCCCTTGTGGCAGGCGCACTGGAATTCGCTAGCACAGGCAATATTTATCCTATTGCGAGGGTCCCTCCTCCAGGTCCTCCTCGGCTGAGTACTATGGAGTTTACAACCTATTCCAAGCATCACCTAGGTCTTACGGTCTCCTATTGGGTTATTTAAAAAAAAAAAAATGTCCCTGGCCGGTTTGGCTCAGTGGATAGAGCATCAGCCTGCGGACTGAAAGGTCCCAGGTTCGATTCCAGTCAAGGGCGTGTACCTTGGTTGCCGGCACATCCCCAGTGGGGGGTGTGCAGGAGGCAGCTGATCGATGCTTCTCTCTCATCAATGTTTCTAACTCTCTATCCCTCTCCCTTCCTCTCTGTAAAAAATCAATAAAATATATTTAAAATAAAAAAATAAAAAATAAAAATGGGCTGAGGCCTTTTCTAGCTGCCGTGGATCCACCTCCCTTTGTCTAAGGGGGAATCTTCTTGGAACACGTGCCACCAGCCCCGTGCACAGCTCTCACACCCTCTCCCCACCCCCCACATCCTGTTTGTTCTGGGGAAATTCAGTAACCGACTGGCCACATGCTGTTTCTTTTCTATGAAGGTGAATCACAGAGGCATGTCTTCTACAGTGTTCACTAAATGAGGTAGACAGAAGTGTCTCGGTTTCCCAGGTAGTAAACCAGTTATTGTGCAGAGCACTTCCCATGGATTCACTCATTTACTCCTCACAGCGGTCTTGGGAGAGAGGCAGTTATCGGCCCATTTTACAGATGAGGTAACTGAGACACAAAGAGGTTAGGTCACTTGCCCCAGGTCACACAGCAAGTAAACAGCAGAGCCTGGATTCAAACTCAGGTAGAGTCTGGCTCTAGACTCCTTACCTACTGTCCTAAATACCCTGGACACCTGAGAGCAGAACTTGCCCAAGATTTCACTGCTACTTGAATCCAGAACTGCCTGCCTCATCACCCACTTTTAACTGTCCAGAAGGACCCACGGGTGGGGGTGACAATTCCCCACTGGTTTACCTTCTATCTCCCCCCACAGGCATGGGCCCTTCACTGCTCTGTCTCTACCCGGATGAGGACGCCACCCAACGCAAAAGCCACTTCCAGCCGGTGACAAGCTTGACCCAGGCCCACTGAACCAGCTCCTCTTCTCATCTCTCTTCTTCCCAGAAAGGACCTCACCCACTCTCCAAGCTGGCAGCCAATGCACAGTGGCCCCTGCCCACCTCGGGCCTACCTCAGTCGTCGCCCCTGTCCCCCTCCCCCATCCGGGGGCTCTTTGGGGTGGTCTCAGCTCAGTGACCTCTGGGAGGGGGGTCTCCGGCCCCTTCCTCCTGTCTCTCAGGACTTCCCTTGGGGTTCTTCGTACTGGTTACCTCATTTCTTTCTCCAACTCTCTTGGCTTCCTTTTGGGTAACTAGGGGTGGGAGGCTGGGGTTGGGATCTGTGTTTCTAGGCCCTGGGGTGTATTGATAACCATAATCAATCACATTTCTTCCCATCTATCTTTCTTTTATTATTGCTCCTATTTTTTTGTTTTTCATGCTGTTTTTAATTGCTATGACTCGCTGGGAGTCCATAAGAATGTGGAACTTTGATCTTCACCCCCCCACTCAGGTGTCAATGGGGAGGGGGGCCTCTGGGCCAGACCCCCCCGCTACCCGGCGACTTCTCATTGAGCCCTTAGCCTCCCAAGCAGCCACCCAGCTCTGCCGACCTGGCTACCTCCTCCACTCTGGACTTCTGTGGCCCCCAGCCTTGCCTGGACACTGACTTTACTCTTGAATCTCCTATTCCAGGTATAGCCTCCAACTTCCTCTAGTTGGCTGCTTCCGTACAATACAACCTCCAGCCTTCCTTTGGTTCCAGACTGTGCAACCTCAGACCTTTCTGGTTCCAGACTGCACAACTCCCTACCTTCCGTTTCTAGACGGCACAACCTCCAACATGGTCTGGTGGAGACCTAGCACCCTCCAAACCCCTCTGACTCTAGATCTCACAGTCTTCTGCTTTCTCCTTCTGGACTTCATGACCTCCAACTCTATTTTCATCAGAAGTTGTCTGATTCTAGACCTCACACCCTCTAACTCCCTCTGGCTCCAGAGCCTCTGACCACCGGAATCCTCTGGGTCTAGAACCCAATCTCTTTCTCTGGTTCTGGACCTCTTCCTGTAAACTCCTTTGTTCTAGATGGCACTCTCTCCCATTCCTGCTGGTTCCAGATCTTACAACCGAGTGTTTTCTCTGATTCTGGACCCCACAACCCCATGCTTCCTATTGGCTCTGCTCTTCCTAATCTGGAACACATCTGGTTCCAAATCCAGACTTTCTAACCTCTAAATCCCAGGATTCCCAGCTCATTCCTTTAAACTTTGTACACTCAAGATTTGCTTTTCTCATCAAAAAGGAGAAAACTGAGTTCTGTGTCTTTTTAAAAATATATATTTTTATTGATTTCAGAGAGGGAGAGGGAGAGACAGAAATATCAATGATGAGAGTCATTGGTTGGCTGCCTCCTGCATGCCCCACACTGGGAATCAAGCCCACAACCTGGGCATATGCCTTGATTGGGAATTGAACCGTGACCTCCTGGTTCATAGGTGGGCATTCAACCACTGGGCCATGCCAGCTGGGCTCTATGTCTTGATCTTATAACCAATACCTCCAAAACCGGACACCATGCTGTAGTTCTTTTTTATTCTAGATCTTATGACCTCTACCATTCACTGGTTCTAGACCACACAACCTCTGGGACTTGCAATTTCCAGGGCCCTCTGATTCTAGATCTGATTATCTCCCCTTTCTCTGGTTCTAGAACTTGGCCTCAAACGTGTCTGATTCCAGACCTCATACTATAGTCCCTTGGTCCTAGACCCGTGATGGCGAACCTATGACACGCATGTCAGAGGTGACACGCGAGCTCATTTTTTGGGTTGATTTTTCTGTTAAATGGCATTTAAATTCATAAAATAAGTATAAAAATATAAATCTTTGTTTTACTATGGTTGCAAAGATCAAAAAATCTCTATATGTGACACGGCACCAGAGTTAAGTTAGGGTTTTTCAAAACGCTGACACGCCAAGCTCAGAAGGTTCGCCGTCGCTGGCCTAGACCGTCTCTAATTCCTTCTCACTCCAGATCTTGTTACTCCACATTACCCTGAGTTAGAACCCAGCCTTCAAACAACTTCTGATTATAGAACTTTCCTGATAAATGCCTCTGGTTCTAGGTCTCACAGCTGCCAACTGCCTCTGGTTTCAGATCCAAATTCTTCTGGTTCTAGAACTCAGCCTTCAAATGCTTCTGATTCTAGAATCTGAACCTCAGCCTATGGATTCCTCTAGTTCTGAATCTTACAACTCCTGACTCCCCGATTCCAGACTCCAACCACCTAACTTTATTTTGGCCTTCTCACTCCACTCAACTTGCCCCAATTCCTACTCTCCTTTCTTGTTTTTAATCCTCACCTGAGGGTACTTTTTCCATGGCTTTTCAGAGAGAGTAGGGGGACGGAGGAGAGGGGAGAGAGATTCAATGTGAGAGAGACACATTGACTGGTTACCTCCTGCACGTGCCCCAACCAGGGGCGGGGAGCAAACCTGCAACCCAGGTAACTTGCCCTTGACCAAGAATCAAACCTGAACCCCAGTCTGGCTGGTGTGGCCCAGTGGTTGAGCGTCAATGGTCACAGTTCGATTCCCAGGTTGCGGGCTCGATCCCCGGTGTGGTGCATGCAGGAGGCAGCCCATCAGTGATTCTCTCTCATCATTGATGTTTCTATCTCTCTCTCTCCCTCTCCCTCTCTGAAACCAGAACCCCTTAGGTGCCTGGCTGATGCCCTAACCACTGATCCCACCGGCCAGGACCCCACTCTCTTTAAGTCTTCCCATTCAAGGTCCCTGTCGTCCAGGTGTCTCTTCTCGTGGACTTCTTGCTCAGACCTTTCCATTCTCAATCTCATATCCTTAAACTTTCTCTACTCCCCACCTCAGCCCCCCAGATATGCATTTACTTTCATTTTACCCCAGGTATGTGGGGAACCTAGGGCTCCCTCACCCTCTGTGGGGGGGTTCACAATCCAGGAGACCTCCCCAGCCGCACAGGCACACGCACAGCCCTATCCAAACATCTCGAGGCGGGGTGTGAGGCCAAGACTCCTCAGTTCTCTGCCACCACTCATGTGTCCCTAGACCCCCTTCTATGCTGGTGCTGCTCTTGGCTTTCCACGGGAAAGGCCTTCCTCTCTCAGCCCAATTCGCCCCCTTTGGGAAGGGCACTTTTCACTTTGTGCTTTTTGTTTTTCAGGGAATTGCCTGTCCAGATGGGTGCTATAGGGGGAGAAGGGTCTCCCTCACCCCTCCCTCCCACAGGGCCCTCAATGAATAAAACTGTGCTAGGCTGGGGGACGGGGAGGGACGGGACCGGCCACACTGGCTCTGGAACCCACTCATCTCCATACCACCATAAAGACCTCGCCTCAGTAGGCACCAGAACTCTGTGTGTTGACTCATCTGTGGAGTTTACTTTAGGGGGTGTGGTTGCCCTGGGTGACAGGTGTCCCCGTCACTTTGTGATTTTGTACGTATGTATGTGACTCTGTTCCTATGTGGGTCTATGTAACGTGTCTGGTGAGGTTGTCATACTGTATATATGTGTCTTTGTGACATAATTCTATGAACCTGGGTGAGGAGGGCATTGTAATTCCTTCTACATGTATGTGTTAGTGAGTGGAATACTTCTGCCTAACGTGTTTCTAGTCACTTCGGGTTCCTGTGTTCCTGAATGTGTGAGTATTGTGATTTGTTTGGTTTTTGTTTATGTTTTGGTTGTGTGTGTGTGTGTGTGTGTGTGTGTGGTGTTGAGGTTCTGTGCACATGCACAGAACTGTCTGACACTATAATTCTATGTACTGATGTCTGTCTGACATGATGCTCTGTAGTTGTGTGTGTGAGAGAGAGATTGCTTGTCTATAGATTCATGTGCAGACAGGCTGTGCGTCCTCCGTCCTGTCTCTTATCACCCTCTCCGGTGTTCCACATAGGAATATTTTAAAATATTATATATATATATATATATATATATATATATATATAAATATATATACACACATATATATTGGTTTTTTTACATAGAGGAAGGGAGAGGGATAGAGAGCTAGAAACATCGATGAGAGCGAAACGTCAATCAGCTGCCTCCTGCACATCCCCCACTGGGGATGTGCCCACAACCAAGGTACATGCCCTTGACTGGAATCGAACCCGGGCTCCCCTCCCCCCCGCCCCAGTCCACAGGCCAACGCCCTATCCACTGAGCCAAACTGGTCAGGGCAACACAGGAATATTTTAAAAGGATAAAAACCACTTTCAAGACTTGGCAGTTGCTGCCCCCTCTGCCTTCAACAGCTTTCGCCCTACCCCCCTCTTCCCTTGTTTATCTCCTCATACTTTAGCTGCAGGCTCAGACATCCCCTCCTCCAGAAAGTCCTCCCTGCTTGTCCCAGCTGGGCGAGATCCTCCCACAGCCTCCTGACGGTGCGCCAGTCCCCATCACAGCCCTAAGTACTCTGTCCCACTCTGAATATTTACAATGGAGTGAATGTAAAAAGTACTGACGCTGTGTCAGGCCCTCTGCCCAGCATTACTCATGTGATTTATCAGACTCTCCTCTAAACCTCTACAGCAGGCATGACTGTCACTCCATTTTATAGAGGGTAAGACTGAGGTTTAGAGGGAGTGATCATCTGCCCAAGGTCACAAAGCCGGGAAGGGCTGAGCTGGACTTGAGTCCAGAATTTATGTCCATCATGGCAGCCTTCCCACACAGACACCCAAAGATTCTCAAAAATTGCTCCGGCTGGTGGTGTAAGTGGTTAGAGCAGGCGTGGGCAAATTTTTTGACTCGAGGGCCACAATGGGTTCTTAAACTGGACCGGAGGGCCGGAACAAAAGCATGGATGGAGTGTTTGTGTGAACTAATATAAATTCAAAGTAAACATCATTACATAAAAGGGTACGGTCTTTTTTTTTTAGTTTTATTCATTTCAAACGGGCCGGATCCGGCCCGCGGGCCGTAGTTTGCCCACGGCTGGGTTAGAGCATCGGTCCACACACCCAAGGGCTGTGGGTTCGACTCCCTGTCACGTGCAGGCACCTGGGTTGCTGGTTTGCTCCCCACCCCAGGTCAGGGCGCCTGCAGAAGGCAGCCAGTCCATATGCCTCACATTGATGTTTCTTTCTCCCTACCGTCCTTCCGCTCTCTCTGAAAAGCAATGGAAAAAATATCCTCCTGTGAAGATTAATGAAACACAACCAACTCTATGCTGCAAGGTGGGCTCTGGAGCAGCAGAGTGGGAATTCAGAGCCCAGGAGTCAGGCGGGACAGGTTCAAGTCCCGGCTCTGCCACTTCCTTCTTGTATGATGTTGGGCAAGTGCATTGAACTCTGCAAATCTCAGTGTCCTCATTTGTAAAAAGGAGACCATGCTAGTATCTCCTGGGGTGAACTTTGGCTGATTGGGGGGTGGGGAGTCTGCCAGCCACAGTTAGATTTGGGGGTGGGATGGCTTGCATTTCTGGGAGGCAGCCAGGGCAGCGCCCTAAGGGATTCATCGCTACAGTTAGGCACCGGTAGGGGTTGAGGACGGAAAGGATGGTCTGGAAGTGTGTACAGTGCGTGAGGGTGGCGTCTGGACATGGTGCATGAAGCTAGACTCTAGCAGCAGTTCCCAACCTGTGGGTCCCAACCCCTTTGGGGGGTCAAACGACCCTTTCACAGGGGTCACCCGCCTAAGACCATCGGAAAACACATATACAATTACATATTGTTTTTGTGATTAATCGCTATGCTTTAATTAGGTTCAATTTGTAACCATGAAATTGGGGGTCACCACAATATGAGGAACTGTATTAAAGGGTCGAGGCCTTAGGAAGGTGGAGAACCACTGCTCTACAGGGTCTCTTAGGTCATCAGAAAGTCCTTTATTTCCTCCTAAAGGCAGAAGGAGCTATGGAAGGGAGGGAGGGGGTGGGGGTGGGGGGGAGGATGAGAAAGAAGGGAGACACTGCCTTGCTCAGGATTAGGGGACCCAGGGGGCCTTCGGTTAATAACTTAGAAACCCTGACCCTCAAGGCTGGAACTTGACTCTAGTTTGGGAAACCACCCATGTTCCAGAGAGGGGTAGCAGTGGCCCCAGAGAGGAGAGGACTCTGTGTTCAAGGTCATCGAGGTAACTGGCTGTAGGGCTAGACTCCCGGCTCCGGTTCCGCGCTGGGCTTGGCGCAGCCCCGCCTGAGCCGCACGCACCGCGGCCTGACCCACCAACCCCGGAAGACAGCGGATAAATCCCGCTTCCCGCCCCCAGAACCTTCGGTCTCGGAACGCGGCCGCTTGGGGAGCAGGGGCCACGCCGGGCCTTTTTCCCCCGCGCGCCCCTTTTCACCTTCCCCATTGGCTTATTCTAGGAAGGGCGCCGTCTGAGGGCCCCGTGGTCACCTTGTCCTCCGCGCGCTCCCCGGCGGAAGAGACCTGCGCAGGCGCGTG